AGACCAGGCTGGTTAGGATAATTTTAGTAAAAGGTAAGGATAATTAGTTTAAGGTTAGGAAGGGGAAGGGTTAGCTAAAATTCGACAGTTGTCTCCGACGCAACTCAACCTTTGGATTGCTAGACGGTTGCATTACACGCACACCCATCCTCCCCGACCAACCTCCCTACTTTCGTTTCTGTCTTAAGTAACCAGACCATTAGTACATATCATACATGTTGGAGGTGCAGACAAATACATATAATATCCGTCGTAAGGATCTGAGGCCAGCCTAAAGCAGGAGCAAGCAGGCATACACTGTATAAGGACAGCAAAAGGCAGGAGAAGACATTTTCAGTTTTTCCTCCTTTGTGGGCTTCTTGTGACCTGGCCAATCTTGGGAGGGAATCAGACAGCTGTGAAATTGCCCTTGACCAATTACAGGCCATCAGGTGAAAGTGAACCTCACAAAACAACAATCTCTAGAAGACTTAAACAATTTTTTTTTTATGGTCTCTGTGGACAGACTGCCTCACAGCAACTAAAAGCAATGCCACTGTGACCTTCATATAAAATACTACTTATTTCCCCCTTATATTCGCACCTAATCTGATTCACAGCCGATCTTCTACAACCAGTGAGATATGTCAAGGGCATAGCATGGTAAAGTATGAATTCGACATATTGAATGCTCAGTCACCAGCCTCTTGGATACCAGTACAGATTAAGGATCTTAATTTGATCACTCTGTTGCAGGAGAACATTCCTGCAATGCAGGAATTCAACCTTTTAATGTATTTGACATTCAAAAAGGCTTCTGAAGTTTGTAATTTGTACTTTGAATTTTCATTCTTGATTTTCCCTTACGAAAAAAGTATCAAACCCTACGAAAATGTCCATGAACTATAATCCACATAATTCACATTTCTTTGTTGCAGGTTGCTTTTTAGAATAGTGTGTTTTAAAATGTATGTTTCTGCATGGACATTGATTGATTAGTTGATCTTATATTACACAAAGATAAATAAAAACATTCTTAACTAATCCAATCTGTAATTGGTTGGACTTATTTCACACATTATTGAGATGGTTATGTCAGTTTAGATGGTTTAGTTCCATTTATCAATCTACTCTACCTTGGCAGTCATTCCAACTGCAGATTGCGGGTGATTAAAAGTTCCAATTGTTGGATTTCCTAACTCTAGTGATGGGAAACCGAGGCTCTCTGAAGGCTTCGCCGCTTTCACCAAATTGTGTCGAAAACGGTTCATTACTCGGAGCTTCCTTATCTGTTCACAATACACATTATTGACATCTGCTGGTCAGCAATAAATAGCAGCATGTGATTATCTTCTTTTTTTTCTCCACTGTTTTCATTAAAAGTTTGTGGTGCAGCGGTAAGTAATTGGCTTTAGTAGCCTTTAAATAATCAGTTGGAATACCAGGTTTCCATCTTACATCATGCTTCCCTTTTTTGCCTTCAGGTTTACTACTTTTCAAAAACGGAATATATGGCATTGTTTAGAATGCTTAAGACGGAAGCTTATACTATATTAAATAAAACAAAATATTTGAACAACAGTGCAGAAAGTGTGGTTTCAACATAAAACAATTTTCAAAATATTGTGCCTTCAATAGGATTTGACCTTCTACCCTCATGTCTCTAAACGTTCCATAGTTCCCTACTCTACCTGCTAAGCTACCAGTCAGGTGAACCTTTTTGTCCAAAATCCTAACTATATTTGTTAGTACAGTGTCCAGTAGAGGTTGGTGTTTGAAAGCAGAATTGAAAAAAGCACCGGAACCTCTGCGAAATCAATGGGATCTCGCATTTTTTGACACACGGTTTGAAAAAGCACGTGATCAAATGAAGCTTCGGACATCAGTGATGACATACTTCTGATAAAGTGATACAGGCATCGGCACACTGCTTCGAAGTTGGCTGCTTAGCGATTTTGATGCATGCCTTGGAGCTCCAGAATCAAACGTAACATCACTACCTAACTCTGACTGGATTCCAATAGGAATAATATAACACTTTGCAAGGCAGCATAATATGACTTGCCAAAGTGGCCTGCAAACCAGGAGTTTCAGACCACTGTGCTATGGTAAAACTAGACTGTCGAAGCATGGGATTGTCAAAAAAAAGTAATGCATTGTCATATAATAAATAATTAAATTTTTATAATATTAACTTAGGCACTCACTTGGTGAAGGCTACAGGACTGAAAGCCATCGAATGCAACAACCATGTCTCTGTCACTAGAAAACACAGTCATGGGTGGTACTGGTACCTCTAAAATTCACTCAATAGGCACCCTGGGAAATAAATATGCAAATAATGCTTTACATCCTACAGTGTTAAACCAACACCCCAAAACTAGTTACTGTAACACCATAGATGTTAACACTGAGAAAGTTATATTATTATTATTTATATTATATTATTATATTATTAAAGTGTAACAGCATCAGCTCTAATAAAGTATTCATTTAAGTCGGAATTTGCAAAACCCATGGTGTTAGTGACCCAACAGTCTTGGGGTGTAAGTTTATCAACACTTTGAAAAGTGTGAGTTTAATCCTATTTTGGTGGGGTCACATATAATAACTAAGAAAGTACCAATGTATATTACTCATTCTATGCTGCATGCAGAATACAATTAATCCTGGACTTCTCTGACATCATGACCTCAGGGGATTCAATCTGCCATTGGTCTTTGAATATCTTAAAACCTTTCACATGGACCGATTACTACTGTAATAAGATGTCTCATTGGAAAGAAGACCATCTTCTGTTATGTGTATGCATTGTATATTTTCTGTACATTTACTCATCTATTCTACAGTCTTTTGGGACAGTGCATTTCTAGATGTTTCTAGAGGTTTTATAGATGGTACATTATTTTTGCTGTCCCAAAAAAATATGTTCTTTTTCAGATCTGTGCACTTTTAATTGGAATGTGGGTGACAAAAAGACCACGTGTCTACTGTTGTGTAACAGACCATGTAATGTCATTAAAAAGTTAATTATGCACAGGGTGAGATCCTAAGAGCTGGCTGATTCACACTCTAGTAAGTCTAATAGGAATGGCACAGGATGTGTACACATCTCCTATACAGCACAACAACATGGCATTATCAGAAGTATGTTTAGTTATCAAATTCCTAACAACTTCGATTGGCATGGCAGTAAAGTTCATATTTCACATAGAATATATATTTACCATTATTTAATTGGATCCAGTTATCTTTGTATTGAACCTGAAACTAGTCCTTCAAAGTGCCTTTAAATTACATGAAAACACAACAAATGAACAACAAAACTTTGATTATTTGGATGGATGGTATATTTGTCCTGTCCAACCTGAGTTGGTGAAAACAGAATAGGGCTTGTTTAACGTTGTTCTAAACCTTCCATCTGGCCTTCCAGGGTTAAGGCTGCATGTGTTCCCACAGAAAACAGATGTTGACAGCCAACCCAACTGAGCACTGCACTGTTATCTATGGAACAATGCTCTTATATGAACCAGGATGCACTTCAGAGAGAGAGAGAGTGTGTGTGTTTGTTTGTTTAGAGGCATGACTGTATTTATTATTTTGTATTGTAGTGATTCGCTACATTGGTGTCAGAAGTGGAATGGCACCAGTGAGGCCATCAGAACGAACGGTCTGGACGTGTAAGTGGGCTAAGTAGTTGAAACACGGGGACGTGCCTTCCGGTTCGGAGGGGGGAGCATAGCTTTCCTCGCTATATGAGCGACCTTACAATTCCCACGAGGTGATTTAACCCTATTGTCGCGATGCGTAGAGTGCCCCTCCGTTCGCTACAGTACACTCAAGGGATTTTGGTCGATGTTGTAAACTGGTGGTGGTGAAGTGCCCTCTGCTTTGTATGTGAATAATCACTATCACTGTTATCAATTGCACATTGTTTGTCTATTGGTTAGGTTTACAACAAATAGTCACTTATCAAATACAATACAGTCTACAGATCATTGTAATGTCTGAACTAAACTGTAAAGTATGTTCATTTGATCAAGTCTACTGATCGTGAAAATATGGACATATGTATTGCACAATATTTTTAATGAGATATTTAATGAGAGAAGAAACCAAAAGTATAAAAGTACAGAGGGAGCAGCAAGATCTGAAATATTATCGCAAATAAGTTATTTATAAATAACATGATTTATTCATGGTTTTAGAGGATCTGACCATACAATTTCAAATGGATACTGTTGTAGGATGGATAACTTCACTTTTAGTCCAAATGGCCTTGCTGGATTAACGGTGCAGAGACGATATGAGAGAGATTAGGATTAGCATTAGTATATGATGACTAACACATGTTACAATGCAATAATCTGTGATAGGCAATCACAATCAAATGCTAAACAGCGTCTAATTAAATGTAGGCCTGATGAGTTTATTATGGCATCTGAACTGAACAATCTATATGCGTCAAATTTGTTGGTGTCATGATTTGATGCTATAGTGTGAAAGCACAGCGGGATATGCAAGCCCTGGCCAACGCTACGACGCGCCTGGAGCTGCCTGTTGTGCTGAATCTCTCTCTCTCTCTCTCGCTCTCGCTCTCTTTCGCTCTCTTTCTATCTATTTGACAGTTACTCTCTCACACATATACACACACACACACACACACACACACTTGAAAATGAAGCAGGTGAGATGCTCACTGCGTGCTCAAAATTCTGATTGATTTCCCATTGGAGTCGCGACGATGCTAATGCGTTGGAACGCACCAGAAGTAACCACCAATCCTTGATGAAGAACGTAAAGCTATTGTCCTTATAAATAGCGACTTTTGTTGCTTTGGAAACAACATCTTTAAGATGATATTTGTGAAAGGGTCTCTACGATTTAATCACATGGCTTTTCCAAAAATATCTTGGGGGTAGAGCTGGAAAGCCACAGGAACATTCTGAGCGGCGACGCGCATACGTTTGGAGATATTTTCTGTAGACCACGGGCAGATGCTGTAACGCAACTTGGATATAATGCCTGCTGTGTTGGCGAAAATGAGCTCGAGAAGCGCCTCATGGTTCTATGCATTCAGTGTCTTTGTTTTGAGTATTTGTGGATCCACACATGCAGCAAGTAAGTCAATTGCAAGTATATTTACAGTAGCCTAGCCTATTCGATATTGTTGTTTAAGGTTGCCAAATATATCTGTCACACTCCGACACTCATCCAACTCAAGTGTTATGATATTTGAGAGGTATATATCATTTTCCCATAATAACTCCGGTGGGCTATTGTTTTAACACATTAGGACACTTGTTAACACATTAGGACACACATACTGTAGAATGAATTAATATTCAGTTGTCTTGTATACAATTGCATTGTGTCTTTGTTGACTTCAAGTTGACAGGTGTTAAATGCTTTTTAGGCTACTCATTGTAGCTGTTTTGGAGGAGTCAGATGAAGCGGGCTTGCTGGGACACTCCCACTTTCCATCACCAGGTGGCAGTGTTTCACACTATTGTTCACGCACTGTATAAAATAACCATGATCCTCTTTCAGATAATTGCAATGGACCATTGCTATCAGTTTTGCCTGAGTCATCCTTCAAAAGCTCTTCAACATCCTCCAACAGTCAGCTGCCTCACTTTGTTAAGCTAAACAGAAGAGAGGGTAAGTATTGCCACATTCACTGTAAGCAGAATATTATCAGATCTAGTGAGGGATTTGGTTGTATTGGCCTACATCATTAGAAGAAGAAGATCAGATTCCGATTCAGAGATTCAGTGTTTAATAGTCACATGTACAGGGTTGCAGGTGTGATTGCAGGGTACAGGGACAATCTTCGGCTCCGAGATCCAACATGCTAAGTGAAATAAAATAATGAAAATGGTAATAAACAACAACAATAGAAATAGCACTATATACATCATAACTGTAGCAGTGATGAATAAATAAAGGTCCATTGGGGTGGAGGCAGAGTAAAGACAGTTGAAGGGGTGGGGGGGAATGGCCATAGCGGGAGCAGCATGACAATTTGGGGGGGGGGGGGGGGGGGTGAGGACCAAGTGAAATAAAAACAATAACAATTATAATAAAATAAAATACATCAATAATATACATATTAACAACTGCAACAGTGATGAATGTCGTTGTTAATTGTCACAGAGACACAGACACACACACACACACACACACACAAACGCGGAGAGACACACACCCATGGTACCCTTTCCGGCTCCAGGAGAGGGTGGCTGGGCCCCGGAGCGGTCAGACAGACAGCCGTGGCTCCAGCTGGACCTCAGGGAGAAGATGGAGGTCACGGCCATCGCTACACAGGGCCGTTCAGGGAGCTCTGACTGGGTGAACAGCTATATGCTGCTGTTCAGTGACTGTGGCCTGGTGTGGAAGCAGTACGGACAGAGCGAAGACACTGGGGTGAGGCTCTGCCTGTCTGGCAGGTTGACATTTATTGTCATGAGTCTTGCCCTGGAGGCAGAAAAAGCATCTTTCGGCTAGATGGGCCAGCTGCAAAGTCAAAATTGGCTATATCGTATAAATTGTGAAAACTAAAATGAGCTTTTTGGTCTTAATATAAGGTTAGGGTTAGGCATTAGGGTTAGCAGTGTGGTTAAGGTTAGGGTTAGGTTTAAAATTGTATGAAAATGTATGCACTCACTAACTGTAAGTCGCTCTGGATAAGAGCGTCTGCTAAATGACTAAAAACGTAAAACGTATGACATTGTGGCTGTGCCAGCTACTGAACACTCTGCAGAGCTGCCTCCAGTACATGAGTTATCCCAATAAATGCCAACCTGCACATGTCTGTATACCTGTTAAACAGTGGAATAATGAATTCCCTCTTTCTTTTCAGCAGTTTTCAGTTGCATGACAACGTGACTGCATGGAGTGGGAGGGGTGGGGGGTTGTGCTTCTTGCTGTTGACTCTGAACAATAGGAATGGTGAGGTGAGGTGAAGCGGGAAAATTTAAACATTGCAAAAAGAAAATGTTTTGCTACAATCCCACTGGGCACAGACGTCAATTCAACATCTAGTTTTGATTTACATTTGGTTGAGTTGTCAACTAACATGAATTCAACGTGAAATCAACAAAAAATGTCACCATGTTATTGGATTTAGGTTAAAAGCCCAGTTTTTGCCCAGTGGGATACTTCAGTTGTAGCATTCAAACATACCGGAAATATGTGCCTGTACCTCGGTGATTGACTGAACAGCATGTCTTATATCTTTAGAGGGCATTTGAAGTTGACAAGTCCCTTCAAAAAGCATAATGAGAAAAATTGAATTTGTGTAAGCCATAAGAAGTAGGGATTCATTTCAGGTCTTAAGGGGAATCCTTCCATGGCAGATATTATAAGACATTTTCAAGCTGTAAATGAGAGATTTAGAGAAAAGTAAAATGCGAAAATGAAATGTTTTGCTGTTGAAAAGTGGCTAAATAATATAATAAATTAGAAAGAAAGAAAATCAGAAAGAAAGAAAATGTCACACTTCTGAAAATACCAAATGTAAACTTTTGTTTACCTCAGCAACCCCCAGCTATTTTCTGCTCTCTGTACTTGAACGCTCTCACCCCAGAAGCTTCGGTTGGCCGCTTGAGAGTTACACAGAGCATAAAACAGTCAACACAGTCTTCTGGCCTCTAGGGTACAAGCTCTGCTGCCTTCCCTTTTGCTTGACTTGAATTACTTTATTTTGGGGGGTTTGTTTTATTTGCACTTCTGAATTGATTTGTGTGGCCACTGGGCCCACCAGAGACAGAGGTCGCATTGCTTCTTCTCATGCTGAAAGGCAAAGCAAATGGGCTCAGATGGGCTTAGGCCTCCATAGAAGAATCAATACAAGTCATAAAAGAGCTTCATCATCCCCTTAAATCTAATGTTCCTGCTGGTTCTTCTAAAAAGTTGTGGGAAAGAAATAGAAAAACTGCATCTTGGCACGAAAGCAAAGCCCTCATTTGCCCTAGTTAGTATCATTGACTGGTTACTACTCGTGGCTTTTTTCACATTATCTTTGAATGAATGATGACTTTTCATGATCTGTTACCAATTGAAAAAAGAACGTTGATTTGAATGTGTTTGACCAATATAGTAAAGATCTATTCTCCCACTCCTCTTCCCAGCAGACGTTCACAGGGAACACTAACTCAGAGGGTGTAGTCCAACACAAGCTGGTCCATTCTGTCACAGCTAGGTTCCTACGCTTTGTCCCACTGGACTGGAGCACTACAGGATGGATCGGCCTCAGAGTGGAGGTTTATGGCTGTGTGTACAGTAAGTGGATCATCACATCAGGCTGTCTCTAATCAGGATATTGTTTGTGTTAGTGATGCGCGGGTCAGCTGTTTGTTCACCCGCAACTGCCCGACTATACGTGATAAAGTGAAAATCTGAGGCCCGCACCTGACCCTAACCCACAAATATAGAAAATATGCTGTGCCGTCAGAGATGGCAAAAATAAATAGATAGAATCAATGCTTTAATCTAGTTGACATCACTAAAGTTTGTTTTCGCTTTCCTCTTTAATCTCTGCTTCTCTTGCGAAGCAAAGATGTTTCGGGACCGGGGAGAAAATGCAAAAAAATTAAAAAGAATGGAACAATTTTCAGAGCAAAACGTCCAAATGACATCAGTTTGACCGGTTTGAATGAAATTAAAACGACCCAACATGTTTTTGATAAGATTTCAATTCGGATTGGATGCATATTTTATGTGGTTGAAATACTATCAGCTTTTATGTTGCTGATAAAGATATCACCGCCACCTTTACAGACGGTCCCTAACCGCGCAGTCACTCTCTCAAGATGCTGAAATAAATACATTATATTTTTCCACTCCTGTTCCTGAGTCAAAATTTACATTTGGTGTATAATTTTACTGCAAAAAATGCTTAATTCTGAAGGAGTTAATATTATAGGTGAGAGGTTATAAACCTACAGTTAGTGTCCAGATTTCAGTAATGCTACTATTCCATTTAACCCATCTGAACAGTACAGTTCCCTTGACGTGCCATTTTTAAGTACCCGTCTTGTGACTGTCAAATTTGTATAGTGCCTCACAATCATCACACATAACATAGCCAGCCCGGCATTGCTATCATCCTCTTTTACCACTTCACCAAATCTTTCCCAAACATCAGACTACTGTTCACAGCTTTTATCTTACTGAATTAAACTCCGACATTGCCCTTTTTGCCTCAGTGGATCAAGTTCCCATAAGCATTTGGCAAATGGCGTGTATTTGGCTTGCTACAGTTAAGCCCTAAAGCTTAGGTTTAGGCTACGTACTAACGGCAGATAAAAATAATGAAAGAAAAACCTCAATGTAGCCTGTAGATAAGAATTGCACAAGAATAATACATATATGGATATTTTTAATGCATTGTTTCTCTTTATTCAACCTGCCTGCTGCCCACTGTTAAAATGAAGCGCCATGTAACACCCAAACTAGTGGCAACTGAGCTGCCACCAACTTGAAGGAGACGAAACCTTAACTTTGCTGGAGTATTGAAACTCATCATCCTGAGATGTTCTGAAACATTACATGGTGTGTTGGAACACCACTTAATCAAGTGTTGTGCAATACATTGCCAGGGTCTGGGAGCGCTTACAGAAAAGGTTGAAAACACTATTTTGGCGTTTTGAGACCTGTTTAGTGCAGAACTAGATGCCTTCTCTTTTGGTGCCGTTTCCTCTCTCTAAAGTTTCTAAACACAATTATAGTGTTTTGAATCCAGTCTAGTGAAGAATTAAATCCCTTTTTCTGAAGTTTCTTAACGTTTCACATTGTTTTATATATTTGCCATTTTATACCATTTGGGCAGACATTGTCAGGCACAGTGTTCAAATCACCAGCAGTAGCTGTAGGTTGACCTGTAAGAATTGAGGATTCTGTATGTGCCTCTTTTGTTGACAACCAGGTTCTTCTTCTTCTTCTTTGGTATTATGGCGGTCCGCAAATAAATGTTATAGGTGCCTGCTGCCACCTACTGTATTGGCTGTGTATCAGCCTACTATTTGGTAGTATAAATTCATTACACCTTGTGAAAAAATTGCCCTACCAACTAACCCTACACCCATTAAAACCTCACAACTATTCCACTACTTGGCCCTATCTGATCCTACACCAGGCCAGCAGCCTGGAAGGACGGGACACTATTGTTCAAAACAACTTCTTGTAACTCTTCTGCAGTAAAATCTCGTACACCCAAGTACTTCTCTGCAACTGCCACCACAACATTTATCCTCTGTGATTTACGTTCCAGTCCTGCGGTACAGTTGACAACCATGAATGTGGGAATGAGTGCTGTCCTCAATGAATGTCAATTTTCCTGACGGTTTTGATATCCGTTCATCTATTACACCTCATGGCACAACAAGCTGCTTTAATACTAATATAGAAATATACTTTTCTTTCTTCAAACATGCATACAGAAAGAAAACATTTTGAATTACCCACAATCCTCTAAAAACAGAGCCAAGATACAAAATTCAAGGTGATTAAAACCAAAGACTTCCAATGAGTTCAATCACTACATTTTCTCTCAGGTTATCCTCATGAAAGATACTGTACTTGCATTTTGAACAACATATTAAGTTGGATTTATTCTGAAATTCTTTTGTTAAAATGAAATGAACAAATCATTGAAATGACTTGCATAATTTGTAAAAAAATATTTTTGGGGTATTTTGACAATTTATTGAGACTGTTATGAAATGACAGAGGGGATACAGATATGTGTGAGAGTGGAATTGAACCCCAGTCTTCGGTGGGGAGAGGGGTGACATGTCTAAGCCGGGTGCGTTAGGCCTACCGCTATACAACGGGCTCTGCACGACTTGCATTCATTTTTATTAAGTACATCATATGTTGGTTGTTTTTTTGAGTCAATTTCAATTCACCCCAGAATAATTTCTTACAGTGTGGCTGTGTGGTTGAGTGGGTAAAATTCCAACAAAACGTACCATTTTATTGCCCCTCCTGTTTCTAATATGTCCAAATAAAGCATTGAAAAAATAAAGGTGGAATTCCACCCCCAAAAATATCCATTGGCCCTTATCATCAATCGATAAACCATTGACTGTATGAGAAACACAGTTTTTGTGTTTTGATGCTGCCTTTTACATGCACTGAAACCCCCAAAAGTGTTTTCACAACACTCTGATTCTGTGTATTAAAACACTCACATTGGGTTTTTCATTCAAACACCCCCCAAACACCAGATCTCAGATTAGGAGCACTACTTTTCATGGTTATTTTTACAGTGCCCCTGCCCTTTATCCACACAATATTTGTGTGTGTGTGTGCATGTGTGTGCGTGTGTGTTTGTGTTTCTGATTATACACAGATGTATTATAAAGTGTTAGCATACATTTGAACATTATGCCAATATTCAGTAGATGGGTAATCTGACCGTAATCTTCATGTTTATCTTCATCCACTATTGGTTCACAGAGTCAGATGTGGCAGACTTCAACGGCAGGAGTGCTCTGTTGTACCGGTTTAACCAGAAGTCTCAGAGCACGGTGAAGGATGTGATCTCCCTCAGGTTTAAGAGCAATGGGGCAGACGGGGTGCTGGTGCACGGGGAGGGACACAGAGGAGACTATCTGACATTAGAGCTGCACCACGGGACCCTGGCTCTGCACCTCAACCTGGGTAAGCACAGGCCAATGGTCTCATAGAACTACTAAAGGGAATGGTGCTATCATTATGACAAAATCAAATATACAGTATGAGATGCTGATTCTGAAGACTCCTCATTTCACCGCTCTGTGTCTTACTCCTCCTCCTCCTCCTCCTCCTCCTCCTCTTCCACCTCCTCCTCCTCCTCCTCTTCCACCTCCTCCTCCTCCTCCTCCTCTCTCCAGACGACGCTAAGCTCTACCCCAGCAGTGGGAACGTGTCAGTGGGCCTGGGCAGTCTCCTGGATGACCAGCTCTGGCACTCCGTCCTAGTTAAACGCTCCAACAAGCAGGTCAACCTCACCGTGGACGGGCACACACGTCACCTCAGCACCACAGGTGTGGATGACTCACTGGAGGTGGACTATGAGGTGCGTCATCACTCATTAATGTACTGTATTTCATTATAGCCACTTCAAATTATGCCCCATAATTAATTATGTGCCATAAATTATAAATTAATCAATCCATACATTACTGAATGGAAGATATTTAGATGTTTTTTAGTAGTGTAATCAGTTAGACATATTTTGCTTTGTGTCACAAAGCTCAGCTTCGGAGGAATTCCTATACCCGGTAAACCAGGAAGCTTCCTGAGGAAGAACTTCCATGGCTGCATAGAGAACCTCTACTATAATGGAATCAACATCATCAACCTGGCCAAGCGACGCAAGCTCCAGATTCACAGTGTGGTAGGGATCTATAATATACTATACATAAAGCATACTGTATGTACATACTGCACTCCAACTGAATAAACGCCAATAAGAATAACCATTAATTAAAATCATTCAATACCTTACAACTAAATGAACCAGTAGGGATGAATGTGGTGTGTTTCACATAAAAAAACGGGTGGTTCGAGCCCTGAATGCTGATTGTCTGAAAGCCATGGTATATCAGACCGTATACCATGGGTATGACAAAAAATTACTTTTTGCTGGTCTAATTACGTTGGTAACCAGTTCATAATAGCAATAAGGCACCTCGGGGGTTTGTGGTATCTAGCCAATATACCATGGCTAAGGGCTGTATCCAGACAATCCGCGTTGCGTCGTGCGAAAGAACAGCCCTTAGCCATGGTATATTGGCCATATACCACAACTCTTTGGGACTTATTACTTAATTATAAATTCGTTTTGTGTCATGGAAGTTCACACCTCTCAAAATACATTTATAAAACTACAATGCTGGAAGATGATGAATATATCAAATTAAATGGAGGTTAGGAGGAGGCAAAGTAGGTGCAGTTTTCTCAGTCCATTACAGAACGCCTCTACTCTGTCTATTTTAATATAATAATGTACAGCTATCTCTAGAACCCTTTGGTGACCAATTACAGGCAGGCGCTGAGCCATGGACACCCACTCCCTCCCAACCTACGGTGAGCTCTGTCTGTGGAGGTAATTTGTACGTCCCAAATGGCACCCTATTCCCTATATAGTGCACTACAAAAGTAGTGCACTATATAGGAAATAGCGTGTCATTTGGGACCCAACCAATGTGAATACATGGTAGATAGACATGTTGAAGAGGCGGCAGTAATGAGAAATGAAAGGAAGCCACTGTTGTCATTCTTTTCAGACCCAACTGTGCAGAAGGCGTACCTGGCACATTGCATAGTTGCCATGGCAAATATTCATGTGTAGATTAAACAGAAAAGTGCTCAAATGTATTAGAAGCCAATTTTGTTTTATGGACAATACTTGCCCATTATTGGCTCTCTTTATTATTCAGCTGAACTCATTACCATCCATGTGAACTACAGAAGCCAATGAAAGAGACAGTAAAGGTATTTGAGATGTTGCCTGGCAGAGAGTATGTTATCTGTCAGGGGACAGTGTCAAATAGACAGCCAGCACCTGAGTTCTGTTCTCCTCTGTGGCAGGCAGCAGTATCGATGATGTATTCACAGCTAAGCTGAGCATGTGTATCGGACAAATACTGAACTCTGTATTCACTCTCACTGCTCCTTCATTCTCCCTGGGACATAAAATCTGAATTAGTGATAACATTTGACATTTCCATGGCCTTTCCACTCAGATGACCATGAGTAACATTGTATCTGCTAGTGTGTGACGTACAGTATGTCAGTGATGCATGCACATTCATTCTGTATATGTCACAGGAAAGGACCCATGACTCAAAGGACTCCAGAACACACACACAAAAGGAATGATTTCCCATACTGTATACAATTTCCATCTCTTTGAACAGTTGCTATTCAGCACATTTCAATAAAAGACAGTAGTAGGCCACCACTGAATGGGTATAGTATTGATCCCTACCTATCCTTTCCCCTGTTCCCCAGGGCAACGTGACCTTCTCGTGCTCCGAGACCCAGCCCCAGATGGTGTCCACCACCTTCCTGTCCTCCAGTAGTAGCTACCTGTCTCTACCCCTGGAGCCTCCTGGAGTGTGGGGGCTGGACATACACTTCCACTTCAGGACCTGGAACCAGGAAGGACTTCTGTTCTCCACCGGCCTGGCACAGCACCTGGTGTTGCACATCAGCAGAGGCCAACTGCACCTAATGGTCCATGGAGCTGCTGAGCAGAAAACAAACATTTCCATAGGTTAGCAGCTACCTAGCTAGAAAAATCCACCTAACGGCATGTCACAGTGACTTTACTGTAGCTAATGTTTGCTAAGTTTGCTAATAACAACTGCCAGCATTATAGGACTAAAGTAAATGTAGGCTAACCCATACTGTGTTTTTCTGTGTGTTCTGTTTTACTAGACGTCAGTGTAACTGATGGACTGTGGCATTCTGTTAGTCTGAGCTACAGAGATCTGAAGGTTTCCCTGGTCTTGGACAATGAGCCAGCATCTACCATGGACGTACAAAGTCATGCAGACTCAGGCAATAGTGTATTTTTTGGAGGTAAGACGGCAGTCTTTTAACTATTGCTTATTATTAGTGGAAAATTGGTAATGACTGTCTTAAATTATGCATGATTTTTCTTTAAGTGTGTGTTTTAATTAGATCAGTGTATCCTCAAAATGTGTTTGATTACTATTTCTGGAATGATTTAGCAATGAAAAGATTGTCATGATTTCCATCAGGTTGTCCCCAATACAGTGGTGGCTGTAAGAACCCTACTGTGGCCTTCCAGGGGTGCATGCGTCAGATCCTCCTAAACAACAAACTTATGGATCTACCCCGTGTGCAGCAAGGGCTTTTGGGTAATTACAGCAAGCTTGAGTTTGACATCTGTGGGATCCGCAACAGGTATGCTCACAAAATCTCAACAATTCATGTTTTTATATCTTATATTTAGGCTACAGTATGTCATTTGTGACACTGTTCTATGTAATATAAGGGAAAGTATCTCTGTTTCTGTCTCTTGAATCTGTCAGTATGACATGTGTATGACCTGAGATCCGATGGAAGGGCTCAACAGAGACAACAGAGAGCTTTTTCCTGGGGGTGGATCCTAAATGGCACCATAGTACACTACTTTTGACCAAAAGTAGTGTACTATATAGGGAATAAGGAGCCATTTGGGACGCAACCCTGGACTGTATGCCTGTACTGTCACACTGCCAACGCCAGAAACATCCTCTGAATAATTCGTTCCCATCCCTCTGTGGCAGCTGTGTGTGTGTGTGTGTGTGTGTGTGTGTGTGTGTGTGTGTGTGTGTGTGTGTGTGTGTGTGTGCGTATCTCCCATCCCTCCCTGGGCATCTATCCCTGCCACTATTGATTTGCCTGTGTGCCAGCTCTGACTATTAGGCTGAGTGAGAAATATGTTGTGGCTGTGCCAGAGCAGGCAGCAGTGATTAGGTTGACGCGCTCCAGGAGTCACGCTCTGTTTCCTCCCTAAGCCTGCTCTATGGAGGAATGGAGAGATGGAGGGGTGGAGTGATGGAGGGAACAGGCAGAGGAGACAGCACAGACAGTGGCTATATCGAGGGTTATAGACAGTGGATATGCAAGGACACAACACTATGATAGAGGAACTGCCTTCTATATCTCTTTTATCTTCTATTAATGGCTTTTCATGCTACTGTATGCAGCTCTGCTGTCTTGAGTTATGTTTGGAGTTTGAACATGTCTCTCTCTCTCCATAGATGTCTGCCTAATTTTTGTGAGCATGACGGACGATGCACCCAATCATGGGATACTTTCTACTGTGACTGCTCAGGGACAGGCTACACTGGAGAAACCTGTCACAACTGTAAGTCAACCTGTCACAACTGCAGCCCAATTGTAATGCCCGTGATACATTTGGGATGACTTTGGATATCCCTATGGTGCTAGTTAGGGACCATCAGTAAATTACACAATGAACATGGGACAATGTGTTAAAATTCCAATAGCTCCAAATTTAAAATGCTTATAAACCTCAAACCAACTATAAATTGTAGAAATTCATATACCAATATTGAAAGCATTTAATGAGAAAACTAAATGGTGTGTAATTTGAAAATAGTTTCTCTTTACATTGTGTAATTTATTGATGTAATTTATTGATGTTCCCTAACTATACAAAGTCAAACCAATTTTGTCATGGTCGCACACCAGCCGGCTGAAGCTAATTGGCTAAATTATTTGGTTAATTCTTCCCACCGGCGAAGACACACAAGAGACACTCACATCAAACCACAACCCAAAACCAAATAATGTTTGAATTCAGTCATGGCCGCTAGCATTTCTTAATGAACCAAATCTAAAACGAGGAGAAATCAGGAAGTGCAGTCACCCTTTGAACTGACTCCTTCATGATAATGAAAATATTCACCTGTGAAAATATACAGTACAAATACACTCAGTTGACGGTTTATTAGGAACACTACCCATTCACAAAACATGGTTCGCTCCTACAGACAGTGAGTCACGTTGCCGTGGCTTGCTATATAAAGCAGGCAGACAGGCATCGAGGCATTTAGTTACTGTTCGATTGAACGCTTGAATGGGCAAAACTAGTGACCTAAGCGACTTTGAGCATGGTATGATCATCTGTGCCAGGGACGCCGGTTCCATTATCTCAGAAATGGCCGGCCTCCTGGGCTTTTCACGCACGACAGTGTCTAAGGTTTACCGAGAATGGTGGGATAAATAAAAAACATCCAGTCAGTGGCAGTCCTATGGGCAAAAACAGCTCGTTGATGAGAGAGGTCGAAGGAAAATGGCAAGAATCATGCAAGCTAACAGGTGGGCCACAAACAGGCAAATAACAGTGCAGTACAACAGCGGTGTGCAGAACGGCATCTCAGAACGCACAACTCGTCGGTCCTTGTCACGGATGGGCTATTGCAGCAGACGACCACTCCGGGTTCCACTCCTATCAGCTAAAAACATGAAGAAGCGGCTCCAGTGAGCACGCGATCACCAACACTGGACAATTGAGGAGTGTAAAAACATTGCCTGGTCCGACGAATCCCGGTTCCTGTTACGTCAGGATTTGGTGTAAGCAGCATGAGTCCAAGGCCCCATCCTGCCTGGTGTCAATGGTACAGGCTGGTGGCGGTGTAATGGTATGGGAAGTGTTTTCCTGGCACACGTTAGGTCCCTTGATACCAATTGAGCAACGTTTCCATGCCCCGAAGAATTCTGGCTGTTCTGGAGGCAAAGGGGGGTCCTACCTGTTACTAGATGGTTGTTCCTAATAAACTGGCCACTGAGTGTATATTGTGTTTAATATACTGTATAGAGTGACTAAAGTTACATTAGTATTTAAACTATTTTCCATCACTGATTCTGACTCTCATTGATATTCCCACCAGGGTATCATAAATTGTGAAGTGTAGGGCACTTTACTGACTGCTGAATTATAATGTACCTCATCCCCGGTTAAAAGCTGCCGTGGCTTTGTACTTCACACCAATACCGTTCACACATTTTTCATGATTTTTTTTTCTATTAAGCTAGTGCTCTTGACATACGTTAATACATTCACTGCAACACGCTGTAACTTAAAGTTTTGATCTTGCTTCCCACAGCTATTTATGAAGCGTCGTGTGAGGCACACAGACAAATGGGGAGTACGTCTGGCAACTTTTACATTGATCCAGACGGGAGTGGTCCTCTAAAGGCAACACTGGTCTACTGCAACATGACTGGTGAGCTCATGGCTTGGCATAGCCTGGTTAAACCAGACTGAAATGTAGTGAAACAATGGTGAGCACAGCGTTTGGTAACCAGGCTAGGGAAGCTACTAGTGCAGCTTTGGATATTCTCAATTAGATAATATGAGGCTAATGCGATTAAGTGTGTCCACCACTTTACACATCTTTGTTTATCTTTGGTGTTTTTTCCATACAGTTGACTGACCTCAATTTAATTCATAATTAGAAATGTGAAGGACACCTATCTGGGAAAACAAAACTACATACCAGAAGTCTTTCTCATGCTAATATGATAATCTGGATTATCCACTGTGCTGTTAACCTGATTATCCTGTATATAAAGTGAAATGCCTGCTCTGTCTCCCCTATAGAGGACAAGGTATGGACGGTGGTGGGCCACAACAACAGTGGGTCTGTGAATGTGACTGGAGCCACAACAAAGAAGCCGTATGTGATGCGGTTCAACTACACTGCCTCTCTGGAGCAGCTCCGCACTCTGATTGGACGGTCTGAGCAATGTCAACAGGAAGTGGTCTACAGCTGCAGGAAGTCCCGTCTCTTCAATACTTGGGGTGAGTCTTAATGGAAGCTTGGTAAGTGCAAACAGTATACAGAGAGCTCAAGTTTAATTCAAACTACATAATGGAATTGTGCAAAAAGTTGTGCAGAAATATTCAGAGTGAGTTCTAAGTATTGCCGAATCCTCTGCTCCCTTTGATTCCAGCTCCCACTGTGAAAAAAGCCTCACTGAGTTCTTCTGCTGTCTCGCCTGGGGATTTTATGTTTCTCATATGAAATATTGATGCAGACGGTCTTGTTTTGGATACAGGCAAGACAATATGTCAAGACAGGGTATTTCACCAATTTACAGTTGAATTGCCTACAAAATCAATTAGTCTCCCTAGGAAGGCGTTTGCCTCCCACAATGTGCGTAGGGTCGGGTTTACAAGACAAAAAATCAATCATGTGTTTTCTATGAAGGCAGAAGATAAACCTCTGTAGTAGGTGAACATGTTCGATGTGCCAAGCAGACCACATTGGCCAGACAAAGAGTATAGTTGATGGTGTAATATATATATTTTTTATAGAGATCACATGATGGGAATAAATGTACCTTGGTTGTAGATGGAAGGCCCCTATCATGGTGGCTGGACCGAAGTGGAGAGAAACAGACCTACTGGGGAGGCTCTGTACCTGGGGTCCAACAGTGCTCCTGCAGCCTGGAGGAAAACTGCATCGACATGAACTACTTCTGCAACTGTGATGCAGACACAAACTTATGGTACCGTGGATGCCAATGTATTTATATGTTTTATGACCTGCATTAACAACATTTATGTGTTTTACCAATCAGTCTTTCCGTCTATAAATTGATAATTTGAGTACATCTTTAAATTGAGGAAACTGAGGTAATGTCTAAATTGATCAAAACTTTTTCCAACAGGGTAAACGACACAGGATTGCTCTCCTACAAAGATCACCTACCACTGACTGAGATTGTAATAGGAGACACCAACAGGACAGGCTCAGCAGCTGTATACAGAGTCAGCTTCCTTCACTGCAATGGTGACAGTAAGTTTAGTTCAGTTCATATAATTATCCCAAAAGTGAGTGTGCCAATATTAATCATCTTTTTTGTTCATACAGACTATGCCAACAAAAATTCAGTAGCTGTCTTTTTTAACAGTAGGGAAGAGTGGAGCAAGTGCTGTATTTTTGTAACAGTAGGGGGGAGTGTGGTAAAGTTTTTACATTTTCAGTTTATTTTCTAACTGTACTTTCCTGTCTTTGCAGGGTTCCTGTGGAATGCAGCCTCTTTCTATCCAGGGTCATCGTCCCTCCACTTCCCTAAGTTCCAGGCTGAGCTCAGTGCTGACATCTCCCTGTACTTCAAGACCACAGCTTCATCTGGTGTTCTCCTGGAGAACATGGGGACCACTGACTTCATCACCCTGAAGTTGACATGTGAGTCGGTTTCTCCCTGAATCCCAAATCAACCAAACCCTACCCCCTCCCTAGGCACTTGTGTAAATGATAGATGATCACCTTAAGTTTAAACCTTTTCTGTTTCTAGATGAAAGATGACTTGGTATTTGATTAGATAGTTCTGATAACATTATGGAAAACGGTGGTTGAGTGGGGAGAATACATTGGCCCTGGAGCCAAAGACTACAAGCCAAAGACAAATCCATCTTAAACAAAAGTGGGCCACATTTTGAACTTGAATTTCTGTCTGTCACCCTCAGCTACCTCGGCTGTAACATTCAGCTTTGACGTGGGGAACGGCCCGGTGGACTTGACGGTGACGTCCCCTGTCCCCCTAAATGATAAGCAGTGGCATTACGTTAGGGCTGAACGCAACCTGAAGGAGGCCTCCCTGCAAGTGGACCAGCTGCCCCTACACACTCTGGAGGCCCCCTCTGAAGGACACTACCGCCTGCAGCTCAAAAGCTTACTGTTCATAGGTAGGCACTAGACCCAGGTCAAACCACAACAACACTTTCTTTGCATATTAGCTACTGTTTAGTTCCACATAGGAAGTAGTATTCTTCTATTTTTAGAGCAGTTTAAACGTCCTACTTATACTCCCTGTGTTTCCTACTTCCTACTTCCTGTCAGGAGGATCCACCTTCAGAGAGAGCAGTTTCCTGGGCTGCATCCGTGCATTGACCCTGAACGGCGTGACCCTTGACCTGGAGGAGCGGGCCAAGTTGACCCCAGGAGTGACCCCAGGCTGCCCTGGCCACTGCAGCGGCTCTGCTAGCATCTGTCATAACAGAGGGCGGTGTATGGAGAAGAACAGTGGATACGTCTGTGACTGTACACACTCTGCCTACAATGGACCACACTGCAAGAAAGGTGAGTCACCCCAACAAACACAAATAAGCTACAAATATTGTGAGAAGCTGAGTTAACGGCTGTCTTTGTGGTTAGGAAAATGTAGCTACAATATTTGAAAGTATGAAATTAGATTTAGAAAAGTATTATTTCAAAAGATTTGGGAAGTGTATTTGATCAAAAGAGTGATCAAAGCATGTATTAAAAAGATCAGAGATACTTTATTTTCAATCCCATTGGTTTATTCATTTCCATAAATCTGAAACTAATATGATAGGCCAGGACATATTTTCTGTTGGATTGAATTCCATTCAAAAGCTGTGTACATGCTGGCCTGGCTGGCACACAACGGGACTGCTGAGACTACACCACCCATTATGGATGAATCCTGTATGAATCCACTGGCATCAAAGCAGGTTTTATCACTTCAGATATTCAGATATAACCTATTCCCAGCGTTTTTGAATGAGGTTTCTGGACAGGGTCGTGCTTTAGGGATAGGGGTACTTGGTACCTCAGAGAATTTGTGATGCATTGTTGATCTAGTTTCTTTGAGATCAACAGCACAGTACAGCACTACTGAATAGGACCATTCTACACTAATAACGCCATCCATGTTTGTATCCCTGTAACAGCAGTGTCAATGTCCTTTGAGAGTGGCTCCTCGGTGACCCTTACCTTCCAGATGCCTTTTCCAGTCATCCACAACAGAGACAGAGGTAGCCAGTCGTCTAGCAGTCAGCCAGTCCATAGCCAGTCCTCAGCCATCTATGCCCACAACATCGAGTTCAGAGAAAACGTCGCCTTCAGCTTTCTGACAACTCACACCCCTGCCATGTTGCTCTGTGTCAGCACCTACCATCAACAGTACCTGGCTATCATCCTCGCTAACAACGGTAGCTATCTTGTGCTATCTCCATCCATTGTTCTCTCTGTCTTTATCTCTTAACAAGATTGTAAAATGAGTAGCTTTTTCAGACTTTCAGACTTTCTTAACTTTTGTAGGGAGTCTGCAGATCTGGTACCGTTTGAACAGAGAGAAGAGAGCAGAAATCTTTACTCCCAAAGCCTCCAGCCTAGCCGATGGGCAGCTCCACCGTGTCCAAGTACACCGGGAGGGTAAAGACCTTTATGTCCAGGTCAGTGAAATCTATCTGAATCTATTTCATCATTCCTCTATAGCAAAGCATTATGCTTACATCATAGACGTTCATCCCACCTTGATGGCATGTTCAAGTGTATTTGGAAATGTGTGCTTTTTTCTTAAACCAGATTGACAAAGACATCGACCAAAAATACAACCTTTCTTCTGACACGAAGATGAACACACTACGATCAGTGACTTTGGGTAAAGTCACAGGTACATCAGCAGGACTTGCTGGTTTGGATGAGGAGGTGCTTAGGGCAGGATCGAAGGGTTTCATTGGCTGCCTGTCGTCTGTCCAGTTCAATCATTTGACACCACTGAAGACAGCCATTCTGAATCATGGAAGCTCATTGGTCCGTGTTCTTGGCAATCTAGTTGAATCGAACTGTGGAGCCTTGGCTGCAACTTCACAATCAGCATCTGGTGTGTTTAATAGCATTGATTTGAATCATCAATATGGATTTTATGTAATTCTATAAGCATAAACCAAAATTATGCAACGGGTTGTAACGGCTGCAAATATCACAGAGTGGGCCTTTAATGACTCATTAACTTGACCTCTCTCTTTTAGGTTTTGACATGAAAAGTCATAATGACTAAATTACTAAACATCATTGATTGAAATGCCTTTATAAATTCCACGTAGCCTATGCCTTTCATCGTCCACAGAATATAATTGAAGGTCATGTCTGACATCTCCTTTGTTTGCTTGCTTCCTTTCTTCTGGAATAAATCATTCAGAGGGCGGCGATAGCGACGTAGATCGACTGAAGAAGACAAGGAGTGATTCAGCAGTAATTGGAGGTTAGCCAGAAGATCATCCCCAGTTATCTGTGTTTCTTCAGATTAGAAATTAAATAGCAAATTATTTAATTTCTGCCATTCTCCCTGAAACTTTGAAAAAAATACTTGTGACTTTACCACCTTTTTACATTTGGCGTAGTCGGCAGGATTGGGATAATCATATTTACCAAGTAACCCCCAGAATTATTAACTTTAAAGAAAAAGCAATGTTCTCTCTCTCTGGCTCTCTCTCCCCAGGTCTCATCACAGCTGTGTTCCTCATCACCCTCTGTGCCATGGCCGTGATGTCATGGTTCCTGTACCGCCGCTGCAGCCGCACCCACCCACAGGAGAAGGCCTCCATCTCACAGAAGAAGGATCCCAGACACAGCCTGGAGCACAGCTACCCTGTAGACTTGGTCTTGGATCTAGACCTGGACCTGCACAGCTCTGTGAGACACAACAGAAAGGAATACTACATCTGATGCCATGGAGTCTTACTCACCATAGCCTTCTTTGCCCACCCTCCTGCCTCCTGTTCCGCGCACTGTTCTGCCTGGCCTCAACTACAGAACCCTCTGGGTAGAGCAGCCATTCGACACAAAACCCAGTGTTAGTCACCTGCCCGTCCCTGGGCTTTCTAGGAGCAGTGATCATTGGTGATTTATTCCCTGTGTGACTACAAGAATGACCCAATGGAGGATGGTAATTCTGCAGCTTTATATCTGTTTAGTGGGGCATGGGAGCTGTACCACTTTTGATGTGCAATGACAATTGGAGAAAATGTATTAAGTTGATCACATATCTACTTTATATTATATTGCTCTAAAGTCAGGAGACAAAAAGCCTCAAATTCAAAGAATCAGATCCACCCCAGTGACTTCATAAGCCCGCTTTATACAGCCTTGCATTCTGAATGTATAATTAAAGGGATTTTCTGTAGGGGTTGGTTGGGTACCGGTACTCTAACTCACTTACTTGTATTCACTTGTGGATTCTGAATGTGATAATGATGTTCGACCATCTGCCAAGGCAAGGTCTGGGCAAGCAATGCACCTGTTCTTGCTCCCTGGCTAAACCACTGATCAAATCTCACTGAAAAGCATTGTGGCTGTGTGCCAAGGACTTTGTGGCTGGCCCCTTTTTCTCTCTGAACACATCGGTTTTCTGTTTCCAATATGTTGTTTGTTGCGCCCTCACTGCAAATAACCATTTTATTATTTCTTCATCCACCATCACCGACATCCTGCAACATGTTATGATTTTATGAATCACCAAAGAGTGGTACAGTAAACGCATACTAGATGTCCGAAAGTCCAAATGTAGTACAGTACAATGTTATGTGATTGTGCTAGTAACTTAATTATCTCTAGACCTTAAGAAGATAATTAGAGGGAATCTAGGGTAGAAAGGTAGGTTCATTCTCAGGAGAGCTCTTGTCCTGGTTGTTGTTGTGAGTTTTGTTGAACAGAGAAGTACAGTATTGTACAAATTTGCTACAGTCTCCCCCAGAAACCATGTTACTTGCTCTTACATTGGTAAAAAAGCAAGGCTTTATATTTTGCACATTTAGCAAACCAACAGAACAACTAAATTGGACATCAAATCTGTGTAGAAAGCTTGCTATACGAATGAAACATGTATTCAGGGGATGATCTTCTGTCATGAAAGACCCACAATAAAGGATTGTTATTGCCTGGTTATATTATTTCAAGTGCATTAGGTCATTTATCTACAGTATTTTACTGTAAAAGATTTACAAACCCCACTGACACAATTATTGAATATGATTCATTGAAATATTAAATTGATTTTGAATTAGTTTTATAGAATTCTTCAGGTATATTGTAAACAAATGTATATTTAATAAAGACATTTTTACAGGTTTATGTGAATAACAGTGTATGTTGTGATTTGATATGAAATATGTTATTCTTATCTCACTTTCCCAAATCTCTTTTGCCTCTTCTATCTGAGCTTGGGTCAGTACAAAGTACACACTGTTATCTGTCATATTATCTTAAAAACATTCATTATCAAAGTCTGGCATTGTGATTTATCCACAATATAATTGACCCCACGCTATCACACACTGTCACGCCCTGACTCAGGGGACTCTTATATGTTGAGTCAGGGTGTGTATATTCTTTGTTAGCTACAGTGGGGAAAAAAGTATTTAGTCAGCCACCAATTGTGCAAGTTCTCCCACTTAAAAAGATGAGAGAGGCCTGTAATTTTCATCATAGGTACACGTCAACTATGACAGACAAATTGAGAAAAAAAATCCAGAAAATCACATTGTAGGATTTTTTATGAATTTATTTGCAAATTATGGTGGAAAATAAGTATTTGGTCACCTACAAACAAGCAAGATTTCTGGCTCTCACAGACCTGTAACTTCTTCTTTAAGAGGCTCCTCTGTCCTCCACTCGTTACCTGTATTAATGGCACCTGTTTGAACTTGTTATCAGTATAAAAGACACCTGTCCACAACCTCAAACAGTCACACTCCAAACTCCACTATGGCCAAGACCAAAGAACTGTCAAAGGACACCAGAAACAAAATTGTAGACCTGCACCAGGCTGGGAAGGCTGAATCTGCAATAGGTAAGCAGCTTGGTTTTAAGAAATCAACTGTGGGAGCAATTATTAGGAAATGGAAGACATACAAGACCACTGATAATCTCCCTCGATCTGGGGCTCCACGCAAGATCTCACCCTGTGGGGTCAAATGATCACAAGAACGGTGAGCAAAAATCCCATAACCACACGGGGGGACCTAGTGAATGACCTGCAGAGAGCTGGGACCAAAGTAACAAAGCCTACCATCATTAACACACTACGCTGCCAGGGACTCAAATCCTGCAGTGCCAGACGTGTCCCCCTGCTTAAGCCAGTGTGTCCAGGCCCGTCTGAAGTTTGCTAGAGTGCATTTGGATGATCCAGAAGAGGATTGGGAGAATGTCATATGGTCAGATGAAACCAAAATATAACTTTTTGGTAAAAACTCAACTCGTCGTGTTTGGAGGACAAAGAATGCTGAGTTGCATCCAAAGAACACCATACCTACTGTGAAGCATCGGGGTGGAAACATCATGCTTTGGGGCTGTTTTTCTGCAAAGGGACCAGGACGACGGATCCGTGTAAAGGAAAGAATGAATGGGGCCATGTATCGTGAGATTTTGAGTGAAAACCTCCTTCCATCAGCAAGGGCATTGAAGATGAAACGTGGCTGGGTCTTTCAGCATGACAATGATCCCAAACACACCACCCGGGCAACGAAGGAGTGGCTTCGTAAGAAGCATTTCAAGGTCCTATAGTGGCCTAGCCAGACTCCAGATCTCAACCCCATAGAAAATCTTTGGAGGGAGTTGAAAGTCCGTGTTGCCCAGCGACAGCCCCAAAACATCACTGCTCTAGGGGAGATCTGCATGGAGGAATGGGCCAAAATACCAGCAACAGTGTGTGAAAACCTTGTGAAGAATTACAGAAAACTTTTGACCTGTGTCATTGCCAACAAAGGGTATATAACAAAGTATTGAGAAACTTTTGTTATTGACCAAATACTTATTTTCCACCATAATTTGCAAATAAATTCATAAAAACTCCTACAATGTGATTTTCTGGAGAAAAAAAATCTCATTTTGTCTGTCATAGTTGACGTGTACCTATGATGAAAATTACAGGCCTCTCTCATCTTTTTAAGTGGGAGAACTTGCACAATTGGTGGCTGACTAAATACTTTTTTCCCCCACTGTATATTCTATGTTGTAGGTCTATTATGTGTAGATCTATGTTGGCCGGTGTGGTTCCCAATCAGAGGCAGCTGTAGCTCGTTGTCTCTGATTGGGGACCATACTTAGGCAGCCTTTTGGCACTAGTGGGTTGTGGAATCTTGTTCCGTTTAAGGTTTGTTGTGTGTTACCTTAGGACTTCACGTGTCATTGGTTTATTGTTTTGTCGTTGTGTTTATTCATTATAATAAACATGTATGCATATCACGCTGCGCCTTGGTCCGTCCCGTCAATCAACGAGCGTGACACACACCACCCCTCCAGAAAAAGAAAACTCCTAAAAAGTGCTGGAAGAGCATATTTATGAGTAATGCTCTTTTGCGGCCATTATTTATTTTCATTTAGCCTTCAAGGCAAGCTTTAGTTTTAGGAGACTAGGGAAAAGTGGGGTGGTTGGATGATTGAGATGACTGGTGTTATCATATATCACTGGGGAAGAAGCGGTTCTAGAGGCCCAGAGTGATGAAGTAGACCATTACCCTCTCCTCTGCCCTCAGCTAGTTAATAATACAATTACAAGCTGTGGGCTGATCCTAAAATCAAAACTGTGCTGTTATACTCTGGTCCACACCACTGCTGTTGTTCTCCCCTCTTCCCTCCTATCAAAATAAAATGGCAAGCAGTGGGAGAAGAAGGCTAGTTCAACACTCAAAAAGTGGTACTAAGCATTTGCACATAAGCAAAGTTAGCACCTCATACTAGTTCAACTTATTATCAAGCAAAAGGAAAACACTGGAAGAAATCTAGTCTGGATGTTGAGAAACAACAAAGCCAGCAACATTAGCCTCAGGTTGGTTGCAGAGGGAGAAAATAACAGAATGGTTGATTGAATACTGCTGGGACATGTCGGTAATGAGACTATATGTCTTCCTCTAGCTGTTGTGACAGCTACAGAGATAGACATGGTGAAGATGATGATGCCACATTACCTGAGAGCTTTGTCTTCCCTAGTTCTCTACCTGTGTCTGATTAGGTCATATCTAAAGAAATCATCATGACTGCAAAAAACGACTTCACATGGATTCATTTGTTTATTACATACATTTATTACAGTCAGGAACTGATTGTGTTTTTCACAGTAAAAGTTATGAATGAATAGTTTGTTAGTAGGCCATTTTCAGTCCATTGCTAGACTGAGTGAAAGAGGAGAACAGCATGGTGCTTAGTCTTTGACTGTAATGATGCATCAACCAGCATCCATTATGCAGAGTGAGATAGAGAGATAGAGAAAGAGAGAGAGAGACAGATCGAGAGCGTCGCTCCGACAGTGTCACCCTGACCTTTCCCAGCATCCCGTCATCTCTGTCCTGCTCTCCTCATCTCTACTCTACTCCCTCATTAAACCAGGTTAACCTTTCCCATAAGCTTCCAATCTATCCATCTACCTATCCACAGACTGATGAGGGTAAGGGCAAATGTGACTACTTCAATTCTACTTCCACTTGCAAACGGAATACATTGGCCTCTTTGACTAAGCGGTATTAGGGAAGGAGGAAATGTCTAACGTGGAATGTAAAGGGTGTAAAAAACAGAGAAAAAAAACTGAAAAGAGAGAAGAAAAATTGGCATTGATGAATGTGCCAACCTTGTAGATAATATATGAAACCTAAAAATAACCGGAAAACAAATAAGACATGTCTAAAGCGTTTAAGTCAAGGTGCGGGCAGCGGACAGTCGGGTCAGAGGAGTAAACAACTTGGCCAACAAAATTACCAGCTGTCACTCACAGCCTATAGGGAAACATAGACCCTCAGATCTTTCTCCAGGGACACTCGTGAAAAATATCCCTAAGATTCAGCTACTGTAGCTGTGCCACTAACGCTCCTTTCACACCAGAGCCACATGACAGCAATTTCCTAGCGAAAGACTTGTCAAATAAAAACGACAGTAACAATGATCAGTGGGACCTTTCAGGCTCCTGAGGGAGGGTTTGAGAGTCCTTCCTAGGACCAAAGGGCTAACTCTAAACCCTGTGATGGAATGTCAGAATTATCTGTGTCATCTGTGGTCCTGAAATAGCACATAGAGAACACAAATTGATAAAGAAGTACTTTGGGATTCAATGGGTCTAGCTGTTTGAACCGAGGACTATTTGCTAAAGGGAAACACAAGGAAACCTTTATTTGTAGGGTAGGCTAGGAAGTTGAGCCTCTGTGTGGGAGGATAATAATATTCTGCTCTGTCTCTCACCACTTCCATGCAGTAAATTGCTTGTCATGGCATATTTGCACTTCCAGCCAGCCACAACATTAGGAGAGGCAAGTCTACCTCAACCTGGTGTGTGGCTGTGCATGGGTGTGAAGATCCAGAAGAGATCATGAATACACCTGTTAATTATAGCTGTATGGTGTTTTTGACAACATCTAAGTAAATCTAGCAAAAATAATGACTTCATAATAAGAGTCTTTAGAAGGTGGTAATCAAGAGAAATTGACTGTGAAGAGGCACATCTCATACAGTATGTTGATTACCAGGCGTGAAATTGCTCAGGTACAAAGTGGGCTAGATGTTTTTCTAACACTTAACTACCACATCACAGCCTCTTCTCTGTGCCATCATCAGTAATCAGAACATCTTGTCATTTTCAGCATGATAACAGATACTCTTCAAAGTAGGTAATACTTACTGTATAATCAATTCTGGTGAAGACCGTAGTACTCAGCCACTCTCACATGGAGGGAGCGAGCCTCCTCAATATTTTCTCAGCTGTGATGTTTACCCTCAAGACCTCAATGCTCTGGAAGCCTAGCGGTGGTCAGGCTCTCATCAAGCACAGGTCATATGAAATGACAGGCTGAGCGTTGTGGTTGAATGTCAGAAAGGCCAGAAACAACAAGGGGAACTCCACAACACAAACATCAACACACACACGCATTAATGCACACACACACACAAAACACTACACAACACACAACACTGTCCCATCCAGCCTGAACTGCACAGTCAGCCAATCAATATGTTGGCTGCTCCATTGATGTGATTATGCTACCTTTTTTTCTGCCTGCCAAATATGGAACTGGATTTTAATTCTAATCAAATCAAATCAAAATCAAATCAAATGTTATTGGTCACATGCGCCGAATACAACAGGTGCAGACATTACAGTGAAATGCTTACTTAGAGCCCTTAACCAACAGTGCATTTATTTTAAACAAAAAAGTAAAAATAAAACAACAACAACAAAAAGAGTGTTGAGAAAAAAAAGAGCAGAAGTCAAATAAAGTGACAGTAGGGAGGCTATATATACAGGGGGGTACCGTTGCAGAGTCAATGTGCGGGGGCACCGGCTAGTTGAGGTAGTTGAGGTAATATGTACATGTGGGTAGAGTTAAAGTGACTATGCATAAATACTTAACAGAGTAGCAGCAGCGTAAAAAGGATGGGGTGGGGGGGCAGTGCAAATAGTCCGGGTAGCCATGATTAGCTGTTCAGGAGTCTTATGGCTTGGGGGTAGAAGCTGTTGAGAAGTCTTTTGGACCTAGACTTGGCACTCCGGTACCGCTTGCCGTGCGGTAGCAGAGAGAACAGTCTATGACTAGGGTGGCTGGAGTCTTTGACAATTTTGAGGGCCTTCCTCTGACACCGCCTGGTATAGAGGTCCTGGATGGCAGGAAGCTTTGCCCCAGTGATGTACTGGGCCGTACGCACTACCCTCTGTAGTGCCTTGCGGTCGGAGGCCAAGCAGTTGCCATACCAGGCGGTGATGCAACCAGTCAGGATGCTCTCGATGGTGCAGCTGTCAAATTTTTTGAGGATCTGAGGACCCATGCCAAATCTTTTTAGTCTCCTGAGGGGGAATAGGCTTTGTCGTGCCCTCTTCACGACTGTCTTGGTGTGTTTGGACCATGATAGTTCGTTGGTGATGTGGACAGCAAGGAACTTGAAGCTCTCAACCTGTTCCACTACAGCCCCGTCGATGAGAATGGGGGCGTGCTCAGTCCTCTTTTTTTTCCTGTAGTCCACAATCATCTCCTTTGTCTTGGTCACGTTGAGGGAGAGGTTGTTGTCCTGGCACCACACGGCCAGATCTCTGACCTCCTCCCTATAGGCTGTCTCATCGTTGTCGGTGATCAGGCCTACCACTGTTGTGTCGTCGGCAAACTTAATGATGGTGTTGGAGTCGTGCCTGGCCATGCAGTCATGGGTGAACAGAGAGTACAGGAGGGGACTGAGCACGCACCCCTGAGGGGCCCCCGTGTTGAGGATCAGTGTGGCAGATGTGTTGTTACCTACCCTTACCACCTGGGGGCGGCCCGTCAGGAAGTCCAGGATCCAGTTGCAGAGGGAGGTGTTTAGTCCCAGGATCCTTAGCTTAGTGATGAGCTTAGAGGGCATTATCTTGGTAGGTAATTGATTTAGTATAAAAGTACAATTTAAACAAACTTGTGATTAAACCTGCCAAGTGGGCATTTTCATCTTTGTTAATTATATAGGCCTATTCCACAGGTAAATATCTGTCTTTGTAATTCATGGTATTTCCTATACAACTGAGCACCATCTGGCCCTGCTTAGAAACGGTTCGTTTAGCATCTGCAGACATGACAACAAACATTAGTTTCAGTTTGACTGAAAAAGGGTGGTGATTAAAAAGTAATTATGTTTACAGATCCCCTACCCTGACTGCTATAACAATACTCAACTAGCAGTCACAGAGGGAGACCATGTGTAATAACACTTAGTTGTTATATCTAGTTTAGAGGGAGAGATTCAGCTTAGTTCTAATAGTCTGTCTGGAACTCTTATCTGTCTTAACATTGCCTAGCTGTCCAGACAAGGACTGGTTCCATTTTTACATTTAAGTCATTTAGCAGATGCTCTTATCCATATCAACTAGGGTTAAGTGCCTTGCTCAAGGGCACGTCGACCAATTTTTCACCTAGTTGGCTCTGGGATTCGAACCAGACACCTTTTGGTTACTGCCCCGACTCTCTTAACTGCTAGGCTACCTGCCGCAAGGCTACCTTCCACCAGTTCCCACCCTATAGGTCTCAGTCTTCCTGTGTGTCTCAGTCTCCCTCACCTCCATAACCCTAGCCCTTACTCTAACCCTATCCATAACTCTATCCCAGGACTCTAACTGTGTGACACTATCACTCTACACTATAGTAGGTCCCAGGCTTCCTGTGTGTACCTCTACTCCTCCCAATCTCCTAGCCCTATCCATAACCCTATCCCAGCCAGTTCTATTGTGTGAGACAATCACCCAGCAGCTGTGGTCCATTTGTAAAAGGGAGGGGCCTGCATGCTTAACTCTTGGCTACGTAAGAGCCCATGTCTACCAGGGGAACTAGCAGATCAGCTCACAGAGCAACAGATGTGGCCCACACCCATTCAAGAGAGAGAGAAAAAACACATTGCGCATGGGTCTCCAACTTAACAGTACTGTCAACTTAACAGCAAAACAGTTGCAGAAATTCATAGAGGAAAGGGAGTTAAAGGAAAACGTGTTGCTTGACTTGGAATTGGTGAGTTCTGCATTTCTTGACTGTTATAGTTTCTATTAAGGAGTTTGTATTGATCTATGATAGACTTTGTAGACAAGTTGCACTGTGAGAAGGACAGAGAGAAAAAGTGAAAAGAGCTTCATGCCAATGTCCCTAATAGCTGGATTCATTCTGTCATAGCAGTGCTTTTCAGATTGAGGAATAATCCTGATAATGCATGTAGTCATTGGTGTAATTTGTGTGGTTTTGAATAGTGAAATGCCACATTTTGACTGTATGAGAAAATCTCCACTCTGTTAAATGTTATCACATACTTAACCACCTGCAATACTGTATATGTAAAAGGGGGAACAGCTATGTTTCATTTAAGAAATAACACATTCACTATTTCTCTGCATTCTGTAAATCCAGTATTGACTGACATCATCATGGACGCATCAACCACAACAGTTATGTCAATACCCAAGGCAGACCCAGAAACAGATCCAGCTCAAGTGTTCACTGAGGTCGTCACACAGAGTTTTACAGAACACGTCACACAACACTTCAGAGTTGGTGAGTGTACCACATTCTTCTACACATGATACATCCATACAACTATTAGGAACTACTCTCCAGTGGTATTTAGAGAAATGCTGGACGAGACAAGAGAGGACAAACTTGGCTTGGACCAGCTGTGAAGACAAAGCTAATCCAAAGGTTTGTATCCTCTTGGACAAAACCTAAAACAAATCTTTATGTAGGGGGAAATATTTAGACTATGAGATATTCTTAGGCCAAAAGGATCCCGCACAAACCTACTACTATCCTCGTAAGTAATGTTGAATGCCTGTTCTATGAAAACCCATTAGGAAATGCAGGTATATTAATTACATCCCACATAGTTCTAAAGCAGGCTCTCAGATAGTGGGTACATCCCAAATGGCACCCTATTCCCTATATAGTGCATTACTTTTGACCAGAGCCCTATTGGCCCTGGTCAAAAGTAGTGCACTACAATGGGAATAAGGTACAATTTGGGATGCACACAGTGGTACAATTTGGGATGCACACAGAATCTACGCCAATATTCCTAGAGTGTCAGAGCCCAGAGCAGGTGACTGAGGAGGTTGGAGGTTGCCCTAGAGATGGTCCTCTGGGGATATGGTGAGAAGAACACCCCCAAAAGAGAAGACAGCCCATGCATATGAATGATAGGGCTACTGTGATCAATCTCAATGGGTATATTTCATCACATGATAAAGAATGCTACCAAATACCCCGTGGAAGTCTTTTGTATTAATCAACTGCATACAGGTTATTGAATTATAGTTTTAGTATGTGAGATGTAGAGGAGTACGATAATGAAAACAGGAAATGGAGAAGAGAGCTCTAGACAACAGAATGAACATACAGGAAATAACCTCTCAGTGGTTAGTTTCTCATCAGGAAGAAAATATGGCTTTGAAAGAGTGAAGAAGCTACGAGAGAGAGAGAGAGTCTCAAGAGAGGGTTAGAAGGGGGTATCACACTATGGACCTGCAGATTATAGGGAGTGTCTGTTTATCAGCCAGCCGCAAACCCAGAGAGGAGTCTGGGTAGGAAAGACTCTGGCACCACAGGCCTTGCTCTAGTGATAAGGACAGAGTGACTGGTAGCAGCTCAATTTCACCCTCTATCTCTCTCACTCACACACACACTCACACACACACTCACACACACACACACACACACACACACACACACACACACACACACACACACGAGAGCACGCTCACATACTCTGAAAATAAAATGAGCATCTGAATACCATGTGGATGAATACAGATGTAGGATCTTAATTTGATCACCCTTTTGCAGGAGCACTTTCTTGCAATGCAGGAAATGTAAAACGTGTAGTGTTTATTATACTTAACTTGTAGTGTGAAGTATATAGGCCAATTCTCGTGGGAATTGGCCTATATGGATAGGGCTACATTTTTATGTTTCTTACGGAAGGTGTAAAAGGCTTCTGAAGTTTATAATTTCCACTGAAATTTCAGACTTGATTTTCCCTTACGAAAAATGTATCAACCACTACAAAAGTGTCCATTAATTATGATATTAAAATGATAGGAGGCCATCTGCGCTCTTTAAAGGTTACTACTAAATAGTGTTGGTTCCAGGTGCGTAGGAGTCCAAATAAGAATACTGGAGGAGATGGAGATCCAAAACTGAGGCTTGAATGCAAAATAAAGATGCTAATTTGAACATCATGGTGCCCAAAAAATCTAAACAAAAGTTTCGGCCTCAGGCCATCCTCAGTATAAATGGTCGACACACACACCTGTTTCTATTTCAAGGATAATTGCATGTCAAATTCAAATGATCAGGCAAGAAAATACATCAGGAAATCTATAATCAGTACCTAATACAATAGAATGCATGATCTACATTATACAGTATACAAAAGCGGACAGAGAAATATCATAAATGATCGGTACTATGATATTTTGGGCACCATGATGTTCAAATAAACAGCTTTCTGTGTGGCATGTAGCGTAGCGGTTAAGAGCGTTGGGCCAGTAATTGAAAGGTTGCTGGTCTGAATCCCTGAGCCGACTAGGTGAACAATCTGACAATGTGCCCTTGAGCAATTTTGACTGATGAGAAAATCCCTGTGATCAAATAACACTGCAAATAGGTAAAAGGGGGAACAGCTTGTTCATTAGAAATAACACATCCTATTTCGCATCGAAACAGTTGATCGGACGCATCACCCACACAATTATGCAAACCGTGACGACCAGAAACAGATCCAGCTCAAGTGTTCACTGAGGTCGTCACACAGAGTTTTACAGAACACGTCACACAACACTTCAGAGCTGGTGAGTGTACCACATTCTTCTACACATGATACATCCATACAACTATTAGGAACTACTCTCCAGTGGTATTTAGAGAAGTGCTGGACGAGACAAGAGAGGACAAACTTGGCTTGGACCAGCTGTGAAGACAAAGCTAATCCAAAGGTTTGTATCCTCTTGGACAAAACCTAAAACAAATCTTTATGTAGGGGGAAATATTTAGACTATGAGATATTCTTAGGCCAAAAGGATCCCGCACAAACCTACTACTATCCTCGTAAGTAATGTTGAATGCCTGTTCTATGCAAACCCATTAGGAAATGCAGGTATATTAATTAAATCCCACATAGTTCTAAAGCAGGCTCTCAGATAGTGGCTACATCCCAAATGGCACCCTATTCCCTATATAGTGCATTACTTTTGACCAGAGCCCTATTGGCCCTGGTCAAAAGTAGTGCACTACAATGGGAATAAGGTACAATTTGGGATGCACACAGTGGTACAATTTGGAATGCACGCAGTGGTACAATTTGGAATGCACACAGAATCTACGCCAATATTCCTAGAGTGTCAGAGCCCAGAGCAGGTGACTGAGGAGGTTGGAGGTTGCCCTAGAGATGGTTCTCTGGGGATATGGTGAGAAGAACACCCCCAAAAGAGAAGACAGCCCATGCATATGAATGATAGGGCTACTGTGATCAATCTCAATGGGTATATTTCATCACATGATAAAGAATGCTACCAAATACCCTGTGGAAGTCTTTTGTATTAATCAACTGCATACAGGTTATTGAATTATAGTTTTAGTATGTGAGATGTAGAGGAGTACGATAATGAAAACAGGAAATGGAGAAGAGAGCTCTAGACAACAGAATGAACATACAGGAAAGAACCTCTCAGTGGTTAGTCAGGAAGAAAAAATGGCTTTGAAAGAGTGAAGAAGGTACGAGAGAGAGAGAGAGAGTCTCAAGAGAGGGTTAGAAGGGGGTATCACACTATGGACCTGCAGATTATAGGGAGTGTCTGTTTATCAGCCAGCCGCAAACCCAGAGAGGAGGCTGGGTAGGAAAGACTCTAGCACCACAGGCCTTGCTCTAGTGATAAGGACAGAGTGACTGGTAGCAGCTCAATTTCACCCTCCATCTCTCTCACTCACACACACACTCACACACACTCACACACACACACACACACACACACACACACACACACACACACACACACACGAGAGCACGCTCACATACTCTGAAAATAAAATGATAGGAGGCCATCTGCGCTCTTTAAAGGTTACTTCTAAATAGTGTTGTTTCCAGGTGCGTAGGAGTCCAAATAAGAATACTGGAGGAGATGGAGATCCAAAGCTGAGGCTTGAATGCAAAATAAAGATGCTAATTTGAACATCATGGTGCCCAAAAAATCTAAACAAAAGTTTCGGCCTCAGGCCATCCTCAGTATAAATGGTCGACACACACACCTGTTTCTATTTCAAGGATAATTGCATGTCAAATTCAAATGATCAGGCAAGAAAATACATCAGGAAATCTATAATCAGTACCTAATACAATAGAATGCATGATCTACATTATACAGTATACAAAAGCGGACAGAGAAATATCATAAATGATCGGTACTATGATATTTTGGGCACCATGATGTTCAAATAAACAGCTTTCTGTGTGGCATGTAGCGTAGCGGTTAAGAGCGTTGGGCCAGTAATTGAAAGGTTGCTGGTCTGAATCCCTGAGCCGACTAGGTGAACAATCTGACAATGTGCCCTTGAGCAAGGCACTTAGCCATAATTGCTCTTGTAAGTCGCTCTGGATAAGAGTGTCTGCTAAATTACATGAAATCTTTATTTTGCATTCAAGCCTCAGTTTTAGATTTATTCATTTTTTCAGACAGTGTGCGGGTCCCAATCTCCTCCATTAATTATAATCCACATTTCATGCAGGATTATTTTCCTGCGGCAGCAAACTGCCTCAAATTATGATCCTACATGTGTAGTGGCGCAGAACTTGCATG